AGGTTGGGTCATCAGGTGCTCTGCTATGGCTGACTTCTCTGGTTGAAGTAGTCTGCAGTGCCTTTCATGTTCCTTGATTCGTGTTTGGGCAATGCTGCATTTGGTGGTCCCTATGTAGACTTGTCACAGCTGCATGGTACACGGTAGACTCCTGCAGAGGTGAGAGGATCCCTCTTGTCCTTTGCTGAACGTAGCATTTGTTGGATTTTCTTGGTGGGTCTGTAGATAGTTTGTATGTTGTGTTTCCTCATCAGCTTCCCTATGCGGTCAGTGGTTCCCTTGATGTATGGCAGGAACACTTTTATTATTATTATTATTATTATTATTATTATTATTATTATTATTATTATAATATTCGGTTCTTACCCACCTCTCCCCAAGTATTGGCACAAAAGACTGATTGGCACAAAATCAACATTTATTTATTTATTTACTTACTTACAATATTTCTATGCTGCCTTTCTCAGCCTGAAGACAACTCAATATAACCAATGTTCATGTGGAAAGCGTTATGGTGTAATGTAAAATAAACCACGTGTAGTTCAGATTTGATCAGCTCACACTTCCTTGCTAGAGAAAGAAAATATGCCACGCAGGTGAACAGTAAAGAACAAGTAGTTTAGAATCATCGAATGATAGAATCATAGAATCCTAGAGTTGGGAGAGACCTCATGGGCCATCCAGTCCAACCCCTTTCTGCCAAGAAGCAGGAATATTGCATTCAAACTACAAGAAAGGAGATTCCATCTGAACATGAGGAAGAACTTCCTGACTGTGAGAGCTGTTCAGCAGTGGAACTCTCTGCCCTGGAGTGTGGTGGAGGCTCCTTCTTTGGAGGCTTTTAAACAGAGGCTGGATGGCCATCTGTCGGGGGTGCTTTAAATGTGATTTTCCTGCTTCTTGGCAGAATGGGGTTGGACTGGATGGCCCACCAGGTATCTTCCAACTCTAGGATTCTACAAGGGTTGAATGAAAAGTAATGTCTCCACCTTCGTAACTCCTCAACAGATGGCAGTACTGGTCTGCAGCAGGTACTGGCTTGTTCAGTAGACTCTCCTCTACAGTTCCGTTGTGGCAGGAAGCCTTAGCACTGAATGGTTGTGTTGTTAAAGTTCAAAGTGTGGAACCCTGAGCATACAGTCAGTTAATGCGACTTAAGCAACGTGCAGTCATTGAATTCTTGACAGCAGAAGATGTCACCCTAAAGGAGATTCATCAGAGAATGCAACCTGTTTAGGGTGATTGTGTTGATGTGAGTATTGTGTGTTGTTGGGTGAGTAAATTTAAAGATATTGAGGTGGGAACATCTGACTTGAGTGACAAACAAAGACCTGGGCATCCTGTGACAAAAACCAATCTGTGACAAAAACCAATTTGTCAACCAAACAAAAGGTTGACAGATTGGTTCAGGACAATCGTTGTATCACTCAGAGAGAAATTTCAAGCATAATTGGCATTTCACAAGAACGTATGGGTCACATTATTGCTTTGCTTGGCTATTGGAAGATCTGTGCACGATGGGTACCCAGGATGCTGATGCCTGAAATGAAAGTGCACAGACTTGAAACTTCAGGGACTGGATCTCACCACCGTACGACATCCTCCATTCAGTCCAGATTTGGAGCCCCCGGTGGCACAGTGGGTTAAAACCCTGTGCTGGCAGGGCTTTAACCCACTGAAGACCGACAGGTCGCAGGTTCGAATCCGGGGAGAGGCGGATGAGCTCCCTCTATCATCTCCAGCTGCTCATGCGGGGACATGAAAGAAGCCTCTCACAAGGATGATAAAACATCAAAATCATCCGGGCGCCCCCTGGGCAACGTCCTTGGAGATGGCCAATTCTCTCACAACAGGATGCTCCTGACACGACCAAAAGTCCAGATTTAGCACCGTCTGACGTCCATCTGTTCCAGATAATGAAAGAAGATCTGTGGGGACATCATTACGCTTCTGATGAAGACATTGAGAGAACTGTGAGACATTGGTTGCGGAAACAGAGTGTCGACTTCTTCCGTGACGGCTTCAAATAACTTGTTCATCATTGGTAGAAATGTATCCGATTGTCTGGTGATTATGTGGAAAAGTGAATAGTGGTAGTTAAAGAGCACCTTCTAAGGATTATTTCTGCGTTTGGTTTATTAAAAAATTCCCATCCAAACCCAAGTAACGAAGTTGGAGGCATTACTTTTCATTCAACCCTCGTATGATTATTTTCTGGTCTTTACATTTCTTTTATTTTCTCTTGGCAGAAATTTATCCAGATAGTGAGGAAAAGGAAGAACAATATGGACTATCATTCAAAAGTGGAAGCGACCAAGAATTGAAAGAGAACATATGCGGTAGAGATGAATTAAAGATGCAAGAAGCAAACCTTCCAGAGGACAGAAAAAATAAATCTGTCCCATATCCGGGTAACACCTACCTTGGACAAGAGCAACGCATCGCAAAGACACTCGAGGAAAGTCTTCATGCTCAATTGAAAATCTCCACAAAGGAGTTACCAAATAAAAGCTCGGGGACTCTGAAAAATGGTGCGGTGACCAAAGACTCCCAACATCCCAAATAGAGAGAAACACAGGACAAAAACAGAGCTCTGAGTAAGCGTGGCATATACAAACAGTTTGGCTAACTTCTACAATCGCAGGAGGTCCTAAAGAATACACACAAAGAAGAAATCCTATCTATGTGCAAAATATGGATTGAACTTTGACAAACAATAAAAAGGTGCAGATTGCATTGGGTTTGGCGGGAGGGGGGGTGTGAATTAATAATTTTGATAGGAAAGTTGCATCAAATAGGAAAGTCATTAAAATGCAGGGAGGGAAGAAGTGCAATGGTTGAATGACTTTTCCACTATTTATTTGATGTTTTTAACTAGCTCTGTTTTTTAATTGCTCATGTAACTTCTGTGCTTGCTTTCCAATAAACCTGAGTGTATATTTTCTTTTTTCTAATATCCTTCAAAGAAATAGATTAAATTTTTTTTGTCGTGTCAGGCGTGACCTGAGAAACTGCAAATCGCTTCTGTGTGAGAGAATTGGCCATCTGCAAGGACGTTGCCCAGGGGACGCCTGGATGATTTGATGTTTTTATCATCCTTGTGGGAGGCTTCTCTCATGTCCCTGCCTGAGGAGCTGGAGCTGATAGAGGGAGCTCATCCGCCTCTCCCCGGATTTGAACCTGCGACCTGTCGGTCTTCAGTCCTGCTGGCACAGGGGTTTAACCCACTGCTCCACTGGGGGTTCAATAGATTAAATATATTGGTACCATTAGAAAACAGCATTATTTGACTTTTCATCACAAAGTACTTGCTGATCAGCACAACTAGGGTATGCGATCTATTCCATCGCATAATTATGGTTTGTTCATGCCAGTTAAGGTAATGATTGATATTTGTATAGAAGGGGCCTGATACATCCTTTGATGTTGTATTAATGCACCATTAACACATTTTACCGAAAGTTTGCTAGAAAGGAAGTTTGGCAGATAGGGTAAACATGGTCCCTGCCTTCAAGAAGGTAAAAAAGGAGCCCGGTTTAGGTGGTTCAGTTCATCTTGGAGGAGGTGGGGTTTAACTGAACCACCTAAACTGGGCTCTCCAGGCCAATGGAGACTCCACCTCAGACATCAGAAGAGCTGCAAGACCAAGAATAAGACACAAGAGTAAAGATGAAGATCCACCCAGAGGAAAAGTGTTCCTGCCATACATCAAGGGAACCACTGACCGCATAGGGAAGCTGATGAGGAAACACAACATACAAACAATCTACAAACCCACCAAGAAAATCCAACAAATGCTACGTTCAGCAAAGGACACGAGGGATCCTCTCACCTCTGCAGGAGTCTACCGTGTACCATGCAGCTGTGGACAAGTCTACAGAGGGACCACCAAACGCAGCATTGCCCAGACACGCATCAAGGAACATGAAAGGCACTGCAGACTACTTCAACCAGAGAAGTCAGCCATAGCAGAGCACCTGATAAACCAACCTGGACACAGCATATTATTTGAGAACACAGAAATGCTGGACAACCACCATGAAAATGAACGTAATCTGGCTACCAGTATTAAAAAAACTCTAAAATTACAACAGCAAAACAGCAGAGAGGAAACAACCAAGCACAGCTTAACACCTCTCAACAAAAGATTCCCCCAGGCTCAGCCAGGCCTTGAAATGCTAATGAAGGTGGTCAGTTGAAACATTACAAGAGAGGAGATTCCATCTGAACATTAGGAAGAACTTCCTGACTGTGAGAGCCGTTCAGCAGTGGAACTCTCTGCCCCGGAGTGTGGTGGAGGCTCCTTCTTTGGAAGCTTTTAAGCAGAGGCTGGATGGCCATTTGTCAGGGGTGATTTGAATGCAATATTCCTGCTTCTTGGCAGGGGGTTGGACTGGATGGCCCATGAGGTCTCTTCCAACTCTTTGATTCTATGATTTGATTCTATGATTAACACCTAGCTCCAGCAGGGAAGAGCTCTTTGCCCCACCCCAGCCATTCCACAGATATATAAACCCATTGTCCTAGTTCCAACAGACCTCACTACTTCTGAGGATGCTTGCCATAGATGCAGGCGAAACGTCAGGAGAAAATGCCTCTAGAACATGGCCATATAGCCCGAAGAGACCTCACTACCTCTGAGGATGCTTGCCATAGATGCAGGCGAAAAGTCAGGAGAGAATGCCTCTATGCCATGGCCATATAGCCTGAAAAAACCTACAACAACCCAGTGATTCCAGCCATGAATCACTGGGTTGATTTGACAATACAAATACGTGTTGATTTGTTACTGCATTGCTTAAGTGGCTGAGGGGGGAAAGGAAGGGGCCGGAGGCTGTTAGGAATGCTGGGAGTTGAAGTCCAAAACACCTGGAGGGCCCAAGTTGGCCCATACTTGTTATCTACCATGACAGTGGCTCTACATTCCTGGACAGCTTTTTTTCCAACTTGGTCTTCCAAGGGTTAAGATGAGAGAGGAAAGGCTTTCCTAGAGATATAGGAAACAAGGAGGAAGAGGGAGGCCGGCTTGTGGATACATAGTAGCCCATCCTCTTCCAGAGACAGAGGCTGATGGAAGGGGAGAAAGAGGAGGAGGAAGAGGGGAGCTGCTTAACTCTTTCTGCTCTGCCTTCCCTTGGGTGGGTGTCTCCTTCTTTGCAGTTACAGCAGGTGAGTTGCATTTGGGGGGAACCTGCTGGGCAACATGGCCATGGGAAGCGTTTACGAGCCCCAGGTTTGCCAGAATGAAAACTGGAGAGGGCTCCTGTACAGGTCTACCTGCTTTCAAATTCTGATAGATACAATTTACATAATTGATAAACCACTTTTATTAGATGTCTACTTATGGCCGCTTCCTTCTTGGGAGGAGAGCAATGTCCAATCTCAATAAAATAGTCAAGAGTAGAGACATCAGACTGGCAACAAAGATCCATTGCCTAGTCAAAGCCATGGTCTTCCCTGTAGTCACCTACGGATGTGAGAGCTGGACCTTCGGGAAGGCTGAGCGAAGGAAGATCGATGCTTTTGAGCTGTGGTGTTGGAGGAAAGTGCTGAGAGTGCCTTGGACTGCGAGAAGATCCAACCAGTCCATCCTCCAGGAAATAAAGCCCGACTGCTCATTGGAGGGAAAGATACTAGAGACAAAGTTGAAGTCCTTTGGCCACATCATGAGGAGACAGCAAAGCCTAGAGAAGACAATGATGCTGGGGAAAGTGGAAGGCAAAAGGAAGAGGGGCCGACCAAGGGCAAGATGGATGGATGGCATCCTTGAAGTGACTGGACTGACCTTGAAGGAGCTGGGGGTGGTGACGGCCGACAGGGAGCTCTGGCGTGGGCTGGTCCATGAGGTCACGAAGAGTCGGAGACGACTGAACGAATGAACAACAACTACTTATGGCAATCCCATGGATTTCATTGAGGAAGAGGGGTTTTTCCATTCCCTTCCTCTGAAGCATAGTGTTTCTCAACCTTCCTGATGTTGCGACCCCTTAACACAGTTCCTCGTATTGTGCTGACCCCCCAACCATAACATTGCTTTCGTTGCTACTTCCGAACTGTCATTTGGCTCCTGTTATGAATCGTAATGTAAATTATCTAATATGCAAGATATATTTTCAATCACTGCACCACATTTGGCACAAATACCCGATACGCCCAAATTTGAATACTGGTGGGGTTGGGGTGGTGATCGATTGTGTCATTTGGAAGTTGTAGTTTATTTATTTATTTATTTATTTATTTATTTATGGTATTTATATTCCGCCCTTCTCACCTCGCAGGGGACTCAGGGCGGATTACAGTGTACACACCGGGATTGTGATGCAGCTGGCTGAGTGTCATAGAATCAAAGAGTTGGAAGAGAGGGCCATCCAGTCCAACCCCCTGCCAAGAAGCAGGAATATTGCATTCAAATCACCCCTGACAGATGGCCATCCAGCCTGTTTAAAAGCTTCCAAAGAAGGAGCCTCCACCACACTCCGGGGCAGAGAGTTCCACTGCTGAACGGCTCTCACAGTCAGGAAGTTCTTCCTCATGTTCAGATGGAATCTCCTCTCTTGTAGTTTGAAGCCATTGTTCCGCGTCCTAGTCTCCAGGGAAGCAGAAACAAGCTTGCTCCCTCCTTCCTGTGGCTTCCTCTCACATATTTATACATGGCTATCATATCCTCTCAGCCTTCTCTTCTTCAGGCTAAACATGCCCAGCTCCTTAAGCCGCTCCTCATAGGGCTTGTTCTCCAGACCTTTTATCATTTTAGTCGCTCTCCTCTGGACACATTCCAGCTGCATTAATATCACTCTGACCAAAAGGTCATGAGTTCGAAGCCGGCCTGGGTTGGAGTGGATTTCCAACCAATTGTGTAGCCTGTTGTCGACCTTTGCAACCCGAAAGACAGTTGCATCTGTCAAGTAGGAAAATTAGGTACCACCTTGTGTGGGGAGGCTAAATTAACTAATTTATGAGGCCATAAAAAAGACTCCAGCAAAGCACTCCTGCAAAGCATGCGGGGAATGCAGAAGTACTTCATCAGTTTCGCAGATGGACGATGAAAGCGACAGCTCCCCTGGCGGCCAGAAAAAGTTAAATAGCCTCTATGTATGTCTGTATACGTTGTATGTCAAAATTGGCATTGAATGATTGCCATATATATGTAGTTGCTGGGATTTATAGTTCAACTGTATCTTCTTGCCTGGCTGAAGGGGGCTGGACTAGGTGCCCTTTGGGGGTCCTTTCCAACTATAGCATAGTATACCAGTGGTTCTCAACCTTTGGGTCCCCAGGTGTTTTGGCCTACAACTCCCAGGAATCCCAGCCAGTTTACCAGTTGTTAGGATTTCTAGGAGTTAAAGGCCAAAAACATCTGGGGACCCCATGGTGAGAACCACTGGTATAGACAGTTTGGGAGTCCAGTGGAGTCTCCTTCTCTGGAAGCTGAATGGCCATCTGTTGGGAGGGCTTTGACTATGCTTTTCCTGCTTGGCTGAAGGGGAGTCTCCCTTCTCTGAAGGTTTTGGAACTGAGGCTGGATGGCCATCTGTTGGGAGGGCTTTGGCTATGCTTTTCCAGCTTGGCTGAAGGGGAGTCTCCCTTCTCTGAAGGTTTTGGAACTGAGGCTGGATGGCCATCTGTTGGGAGGGCTTTGACTATGCTTTTCCTGCTTGGCTGAAGGGGAGTCTCCCTTCTCTGAAGGTTTTGGAACTGAGGCTGGATGGCCATCTGTTGGGAGGGCTTTGACTATGCTTTTCCAGCTTGGCTGAAGGGGAGTCTCCCTTTTCTGAAGGTTTTGGAACTGAGGCTGAATGGCCATCTGTTGGGAGGGCTTTGACTATGCTTTTCCTGCTTGGCTGAAGGGGAGTCTCCCTTCTCTGAAGGTTTTGGAACTGAGGCTGGATGGCCATCTGTTGGGAGGGCTTTGGCTATGCTTTTCCAGCTTGGCTGAAGGGGAGTCTCCCTTCTCTGAAGGTTTTGGAACTGAGGCTGGATGGCCATCTGTTGGGAGGGCTTTGACTATGCTTTTCCAGCTTGGCTGAAGGGGAGTCTCCCTTCTCTGAAGGTTTTGGAACTGAGGCTGGATGGCCATCTGTTGGGAGGGCTTTGACTATGCTTTTCCTGCTTGGCTGAAGGGGAGTCTCCCTTCTCTGAAGGTTTTGGAACTGAGGCTGGATGGCCATCTGTTGGGAGGGCTTTGACTATGCTTTTCCTGCTTGGCTGAAGGGGAGTCTCCCTTCTCTGAAGGTTTTGGAACTGAGGCTGGATGGCCATCTGTTGGGAGGGCTTTGACTATGCTTTTCCTGCTTGGCTGAAGGGGAGTCTCCCTTCTCTGAAGGTTTTGGAACTGAGGCTGGATGGCCATCTGTTGGGAGGGCTTTGACTATGCTTTTCCTGCTTGGCTGAAGGGGAGTCTCCCTTCTCTGAAGGTTTTGGAACTGAGGCTGGATGGCCGTCTGTTGGGAGGGCTTTGACTATGCTTTTCCTGCTTGGCTGAAGGGGAGTCTCCCTTCTCTGAAGGTTTTGGAATTGAGGCTGGATGGCCGTCTGTTGGGAGGGCTTTGACTGTGCCTTCCTGTCTGGCATTCTGTACTCCACCAACAGAACTCCCATGACCAACAGAAAATACTGGAAGGGTTTGGTAGGCACTGACCTTGAGGTTTGGAGTTGTAGTTCACCTACATCCAAAGAGCACTCTGGACTCAAACAATGTTAGATATGTACCAAACACTCAATATGCTCCAATGTGAACACTGTTTTGGGGAAAATAGACGTTGATGTTTGGTAGTTGTGGCTGCTGGGATTTATAGTTCACCTACAATAAAAGCGCATTCTGAACCCCACGATTGACAGAATAGGGCCAAATCTCCTACACAGAATCCCCACCAACAGAAAATACTATGTTTTCTGATGGTCTTTGGCGACCCCTTTGACACCCCCTCGTGACCCCCCAGGGGTCCCGACCCCCAGGTTGAGAAACACTGGTCTACTTAAAAGCAACCGGAGAAAGAGACTCCACCAGACTCTCAAGACCCTTCCTCTGAAGCATAGCTTTACAGCTTCCAGGATCAGATGAACTATAGTTGGAAGAGACCTCATGGGCCATCCAGTCCAACCCCATTGTGCCAAGAAATAGGAAAATCGCATTCAAAGTAACCCCCCCCCCAACTGTTGGAGGGGGGTGTAAACGTTTCAATTGGCCATCTTGATTAGCATTTGATGGCCTGACAGTTTTGAGGTGTGGCTTGTTCCTGCCTGGGGGAATCCTTTGTTGAGAGGTGATTAGGTGTTCCTGATTTTTTTTGTCTGGAGTTCCCCTTGTTTTGTGTTGTTTTGCTGTTGTAATTTTTGAGTTTTTTATACTGGTAGCCATATTTTGTTCATTTTCATGGTTTCTTCCTTTCTGTTGAAGTTGTCCACATGCTTGTGGATTTCAATGGCCTAATTCCAACAGACAAGAGTTCTTTCTCCCACCCTGGTCATTCCACAGCTATATAAACCCTTTTTCCTAGTTCCAACAGACCTCACAACCTCTGAGGATGCTTGCCATAGATGCAGGTGAAACGTCAGGAGAGAATGCTTCTAGAACATGGCCATATAGCCCAAAAAACCTACAACAACCCAGTGATTCTGGCCATGAAAGCCTTCGACAATACAAAGCATTTGTTGTTTATTTTCTTTCTCTGGCAAGGCAGCATATTTTCTTTCTCTGGCAAGGCAGCATGTTTTCTTTCTCTGGCAAGGCAGCATATTTTCTTTCTCTGGCAAGGCAGCATATTTTCTTTCTCTGGCAAGGCAGCATATTTTCTTTCTTTGGCAAGGCAGCATATTTTCTTTCTCTGGCAAGGCAGCATGTTTTCTTTCTCTGGCAAGGCAGCATATTTTCTTTCTCTGGCAAGGCAGCATGTTTTCTTTCTCTGGCAAGGCAGCATGTTTTCTTTCTCTGGCAAGGCAGCATATTTTCTTTCTCTGGCAAGGCAGCATATTTTCTTTCTCTGGCAAGGCAGCATATTTTCTTTCTTTGGCAAGGCAGCATATTTTCTTTCTCTGGCAAGGCAGCATGTTTTCTTTCTTTGGCAAGGCAGCATATTTTCTTTCTCTGGCAAGGCAGCATGTTTTCTTTCTCTGGCAAGGCAGCATATTTTCTTTCTCTGGCAAGGCAGCATATTTTCTTTCTCTGGCAAGGCAGCATGTTTTCTTTCTCTGGCAAGGCAGCATATTTTCTTTCTCTGGCAAGGCAGCATGTTTTCTTTCTTTGGCAAGGCAGCATATTTTCTTTCTCTGGCAAGGCAGCATGTTTTCTTTCTCTGGCAAGGCAGCATATTTTCTTTCTCTGGCAAGGCAACCTGTGTGCTGATCAAATATGAACTACATGTGGTTTATTTTACATTATCCCACAAGCCGTACTATATTGACAAGAAATCCTTTTTTCTTTTCTTTGCAGTGCATGGTGTCCTCACTCTGGCAAGTTGCTGCTGCTGGAGAGTCTGTCCAAAGAAAGGAAAACGATCCTGTGGCCATGTTGGAGGCAACGTTGGATTGTGGATTAAAGATGGAGCAACACAACAAGGCTTGCTCTGATGTCGGCATAGGTCTGCATATCATTCAGGTTGGGAGTAGCAGGGAATTCTGGGAAAGAACTGTGCCAAAAGCCTCGGATGACAACACAAGTCCCACAGATATACAGCGCCAGCGTTTCAGGCAGTTCCGTTACCAGGAGGCCAAGGGACCAAGAGAGGTCTGCAGCCGACTCCACGTTCTCTGCCGCCAGTGGCTGAAGCCGGAGCGACACACGAAGAACCACATCTTGGATTTGGTGATACTGGAGCAGTTCCTAGCCATCCTCCCCCAAGAAATGGAGAGCTGGGTGAGAGAAAGTGGAGCAGAAACCAGTTCCCAGGCCGTGGCCCTGGCAGAATGTTTCCTTTTGAGTCAGGCAGAGGAGAAGAAGCAGGAATTGGAAAAGGAAGTAAAGCAGGTGAGAACATCTCATCTTGGGAGGTGCATGGGGAATTTTGGAGTTGGTGAATATTCTCTGTGATTCATGTGCTGCTTATGCACATGATAGAATCATAGAGCTGGAAGATACTAAAAAAGGTAAAGGTTGTCCCCTGACATTAAGTTCAGTCATGTCTGACTCTGGGGTGTGGTGCTCATCTCCATTTCTAAGCCGAAGAGCCGGCGTTGTCCATAGACACCTCCAAGGTCATGTGGCCAGCATGACTGCATGGAGCACCGTTACCTTCCCGCCAGAGAGGTACCTATTGATCTACTCACATTTGCATGTTTTCAAACTGCTAGGTTGGCAGAAGCTAGGGCTGACAGCGGAAGCTCACGCCGCTCTCCAGAATCGAACCTGCGACCTTTCGGTCAACAAGCTCAGCAGCTCAGTGCTTTAAGCCACTGCGCCACCGGGGGCTCCACTGGAAGACACTCATGAGCCATATAATCCAACCCCCTGCCATGCAGGAAAGCACAATCAAAGCACCCCTGACAGATGGCCATCCAGCCTCTGTTTAAAAGCTTCCAAGGAAGGAGCTTCCACCAGGCTCCAAGGCAGAGAGTTCCACTGTTGAATAGCTCTTACGGTCCTAATGTTCAGGCAGAATCTACTTTCCTGAGATTTGAACCCATTGCTCCATTGAGTTCCAAAGCAGCAGGAAACAATCCTGCTCTTTCTTCCTTATGGCATCCTTTCAATATTTATACATGGCTATCATAATGACCTCAACATCTTTAAACTTGCTCGCCCAACAACGCACAGTACTCACATCAACACAATCGCCATAAACAGTTTGCATTCTCTGATGAATCTCCTTTGGGGTGACACCTTTTGCTGTCAAGAATTCAATGACTGCTCGTTGCTTAAGTTGCATTGAATGACCGTCTGCACAGGGTTCCATACTTTGCACTTTAACAGCACAACCGTTCAATGCTAAAGCTTCACATCAAAATGGAACTGGAGAGGAGAGTCTACTGAGCAAGCCAGTACCTGCCGCATACCAGTACTGCCATCTGTTGAGGAGTTACAAAGGTGGAGGCATTACTTTTCATTCAACCCTCATATATAATGTCCAAATTAGAATAAGAAGAATCACAAATGTTAATGGATATATTTTTGTAATTTAAAATCCAGTATTATTTGTGCTTTGAAAACATTGATTCTATTGTTGGTTCTAGTTGAGCTAGGCCCATTCGATAGGATTTCTACGTAATTGTCTCAACATTCAACAATGGATTTAATGGGTGAGATACATAGGTAGGCAAATATGTTTACAGACAGATACAACATACCTCCTTTCTGTTCTGGTCTGCCTGCCTCTGTCCTGTTTGTCCAAAACGGCATTGAATGTTTGCCTTGAATGTGTACTGTGATCTACATAGCGTTCCATAGACCTCTCCCAGCTCTGTTCCATTGAACACACGCATATACACACATGAGAGGCGATAGCCCGCCAACCCTATGACTTGTGCTCATCCCTGTTCTAATTATTCTCTCTCTCTCTCTTGTGATGCTCATTGGTCTTCTCAGGAGCCAGACACATTTGTGTCCACTGATCTGCCAGAGCCAGAGAAGCTTCATTGTATGCCGATGATATCGTCCCTTTGTAGCAGTGGATCGGAAACGGCTTCTGAACTGATGGATCAGGTAGGGGAAGTAACTTCAGTGGGTTGTAGGAGGAGGAGGAGGCTGAATGCTCTATGCATCTTCCGTAGCTTGGGGGTCCTCCTGGGGGTCCTCAGGTGTCAGCGGTGGCCGAGAGGGCCTTTGTACAACTCAAACTTGTGCGCCAGCTGCAACCATACCTCGTGAAGTCTGACTTGGCCAGGGTGGTCCATGCCTTGGTTACATCCAAACTGGGCTATTGCAATGCACTCTACATGGGGCTGCCCTTGAAGACGGCCCGGAAATTTGAACTGGTACAACGGGGGGCAGCCGGGCTCCTTACTGGAGCAAACTATAGGGAGCATACAACACCCCTGTTAAAACAGCTTCGTTGGCTGCTGATAAGTTGCCGAGCCAAATTCAAGGTGCAGGTCATGACCCATAAAGCCCTAAACTAGTGGTTCTCAAACTGGGGTCCCCAGATGTTTTGGGCCTACAACTCCCAGAAATCCCAGCCAGTTTACCAGCTGTTAGGATTTCTGGGAGTTGTAGGCTAAAAATATCTTAAGCCCTAAACGGTTCAGGCCCCGCCTATCTCTGCGATCGCATCTCCTTCTATGAACCGGCGCGAGCTCTAAGATCTTCTGGGGAGGCCCTCCTCTTGGTCCCACTACCGTCTCAAGCGCAGTTGGTGAGGATGAAAGAGAGGGCCTTCTCGGTGGTGGCCCCCCACCTCTGGAACGCCCTTCCAAGGGAAATAAGGCAGGCCCCATCCCTCCCCTCCTTTCATAAGAACTTGAAGACCTGGTGGTTTCAACAAGCCTTTGAAAATGACCAGTTCTAACTCAGTCTTACACATTGTCGAATACGGCCTTATTCTTCCTACCAATTACCCAGATCATTTCCTCTAATCGGCCTTGGAATGAACAGCCACAAACCCATACCTAATATTATTTTTGCCTGCCATAGCATTGCACTTAATTCCCGGGCCCCCAAGAATTTTTGGGCTTGCACAAATCTTGGCCCGGCCTTTAAATTTTTTTAATTGCCTTGAACAGGCAGGATTACTTTTAATATATGTGTGTTGTGGTGACAATTTTTATGCTTATATTGTTTCGTTATTCTTATGGTTATGTTGTTTTTTTACTTTGTATGTTTTGTGATGTTACCTGGGAATTGCTCTGAGTCCCCTCGCGGAGATGGAGCGGTATATAAATAAAGTTTTATTATTATTATGGAGCCCCCGGTGGCGCAGTGGGTTAAACCCCTGTGCTGGCAGGACTGAAGACCGACAGGTCGCAGGTTCGAATCCGGGGAGAGGCGATGAGCTCCCTCTATCAGCTCCAGCTCCTCATGCGGGGACATGAGAGAAGCCTCCCACAAGGATGATAAAAACATCAAATCATCCGGGCGTCCCCTGGGCAACGTCCTTGCAGACAGCCAATTCTCTCACACTAGAAGTGACTTGCAGTAACTCAAGTCACTCCTGACACGACAAAAAAATATTATTATTATTCCTCCCCCCCCCCCCCCCAAATCTGTCATTTTCATTCATGCTGTGAAGGATTCAACAAGACAATACAGAAGACATAGGCATACTTGCACCCTCCAGGTGTTTTGGACTCCAACTCCCAAAATTCCTAACAGCCTACCAAGAGTTGAAGTCCAAAACACCTGGAGGGCCCAAGTTTGCCCTTGCCTGCACTATAGTCCATGAAAGATGGACTCCTAAGGGTTATACGGAACCATTGTGTATGAGTGTTGTTTTCCTCTCCTTTAGGACCTGAGGCCATGCAAGGAGGAAAGTGTGCACTTCAATGAGGAGGAATGGGGCCACTTGAATCTGGACCAAGGGGCCCACCGTGGGGAAGTCATGGAGGAAAAATCGGGGAGCACAGCCTCTCTGGGTAAGATTCCCCTATGTTTTATCTTGGAAGATTGCAAACTGGCATTGTTTACAAAGGATAGACTATTATGGAGTTTGGAGAAAGCAACGTTTTAGACTACATTTCGCAGAATCCACCAGTAGGCATGGCCATTAGTTCTGCTGGTTGGAGTGTTCTTGGAGTTGGAGCCCTAAAGCAAGAACATTTTTCTCAAGGTCATGGAGCATGGAAAGAGTAGACAAGGAAGAGGGTGTGAGTACTACTCTTAGACAAGGCACCTATTAAAGGCATCCATCTCTGATGCATCTGAGGCTTTCAGCATTCTTTCTGTCCTTTCAGCAAAGTAGCTCCTCTGGCTTCTTTGCTCCATCAGGGCTCCTCGAGTTAAAACTCAGCAGGTGCTGGATGTGTGACTAGCACACTTTCCCCCAAATGAATTAGGGCAGTGGTTCACAACCTGTGGGTCGCAGCGCAGCAGTGGGCCGTGAGAATGAAAATCCGGTCTGCAAACTCTGGGCAAAGTGATCCCTGGGAAAAGTGGCCCCGGTCAAGTGGTCCTTGGTCAAAGTGGTTCCTGGTCAAAGTGATCCTTGGCCAAAGCGGGCCCTGGTCAAAGTGGCCCCTGGTCAAAGTGGCCCCTGGTCAAAGTGGGCCCTGGTCAAAGTGGGCCATGGCCAAAGTGGGCCCTGGTCAAGTGGGCCCCAGCCGGAGTGGGCCCCGGTCACAGTGGGCCCGGTCAAAGTGGGCCCCGGTCAAAGTGGGCCCCGGCCAAAGTGGACCCTGGTCAAGTGGGCCCCGGCCAAAGTGGACCCTGGTCAAGTGGGCCCTGACCAAAGTGGGCCCTGACCAAAGTGGGCCCTGACCAAAGTGGGCCCTGGCCAAAATGGGCCCTGGCCAAAATGGGCCCTGGCCACAGCGGGCCTCGGTCAAAGTGGACCCCGGCCAAAGTTGGCCCTGGTCAGAGTGGGTCCTGGCCAGAGTAGGCCCTGGTGAAAGTGGTCCCTGGTCAAAGTGGGCCCTGGTAAAAAAAAGTTGGGAACCACTACTTTAAGGCAAAGTTTCTCAAACTGTGCTTCTCCAGATGTTTTGGACTTCAGCTCCCACAATTCCTAACAGCTGATAAACTAGCTGGGATCCTTATATTTTCTTTATAAGCTACTCTCTGAAAACTACCTGGAAGGATGTCTGCACTAATATTTATTGCTGACTCATTCCTAAAGCTAGAATATCACCGTCTTTCCATGGAGATCCATTAGTTTGAGATGCTGGAGATTGAAGGTGAGACCTGAGTAATAGAAGAGCTCAGGGTGCATCTACATCAGGCTTGGGCAAACTTCGGCCCTCCAGGTGTTTTGGACTTCAACTCCCACAATTCCTAACAGCCTACCGGCTGTTAGGAATTGTGGGAGTTGAAGTCCAAAACACCTGGAGGGCCAAAGTTTGCCCAGACGAGATCTGTCCTTTATGATTTCACTTTCTCTGTAAATTTATTTATTTATTTACTTTGCTTATATACCGCTGTTCTCAGCCCAGGGGCGACTCACAGCGGTGTACAACATAGGAACCACAAAATTCAAGACACAGTATAAAACAATTCACAATCCAGCATTATACAAAAACATCGTCATTACTACGAAAACCATTCAGCGTTGTCTCATCGTCCAGGCCACAATCCAGTATCATTTCCGTTGTTCCATTCCTATAGTCATTACCAATCATTGCACTTCTTGTTTGAATGCCTTCTTGAACAACCAAGTCTTTAATTTCCTGCGGAATATCATCAGGGAAGGAGCCAGTCTAATGTCCGCGGGAAGAGTGTTCCACAGCCGAGGAGCCACCACCGAGAAGGCCCTATCTCTCGTCCCTGCCAGCCGTGCTGTGAAGCAGGCGGGATCGAGAGCAGGGCCTCCCCGGAAGATCTCAAAGTCCTGGTGGGCTCGTAGGTCGAGATGCGGTCGGATAGGTATCTTGGGCCGGAACCGTTTAGGGCTTTATAGGCCAACGCCAGCACCTTGAATTGAGCCCGGTAGCAAATCGGCAGCCAGTGGAGCTGGTACAACAAGGGCGTTGTATGCTCCCTGCGTCCCGCTCCTGTTAGTATCATGGCTGCCGCACGTTGGACCAATTGAAGCTTCCGGGCCGTCTTCAAGGGCAACCCCACGTAGAGAGCATTGCAGTAGTCTAAACGGGATGTAACCAGAGCGTGGACTACCGTGGCCAAGTCAGACTTCCCAAGGTACGGGCGCAGCTGGCGCACAAGTTTTAGTTGTGCAAATGCTCCCCTGGTCACCGCCGAAACCTGGGGTTCCAGGCTCAGCGATGAGTCCAGGGTCACACCCATACTGCGAACCTGCATCTTCAGGGGGAGTGCGACCCCATCCAGCACAGGCTGTAACCCTATGCCCTGTTCGGCCTTGCGACTGACCAGGAGTTCACCAAGGGGAGAAACCCTACAAATGCTTGGAGTGCGGAAAGAGCTTCAATTGTGGTGGATTTGCTATAATTCTCTCTTTTGTTGTTTCTCCCTCTCAGGTACAGATAGAAAGGAGAAAGCAAGCAAAGAGCCCCATAGGACGGTGTTGGAAGGGTGCAGAAACACAAGGCGAGAAGACAAGAGCACTAAAATTGAAGCCAAAGAGCAAAAGAGGGACCCAACGCCTGCTGCTCCGAGTGGCATTATCTCAGGAAGCTCCATCAGGCAAAAACCAGTAAAGGAAAGGAAGGGAGTTGGTGCCTCGTGTGTGGGAAGAGCTTCAGTAGTAAATCCAGCCTCAATCTTCACATGAGAACGCACACGGGGGAGAAACCCTACACCTGCTTGGAGTGTGGGAAAAGCTTTGGTCAGAGCGCGCACCTCACCTCCCACCAAAGGATCCACACTGGGGAGAAACCTTACGTGTGCTTGGAGTGCGGGAAGAGTTTCAGCCAAAAGATCACCCTCACTTTCCACCGAGGAAGCCACACGGGGGAGAAGCCACACAAGTGCCCAGAGTGTGGCAAAACGTACAGCCGGAAGTCCTACCTGACTCGACACCAGCGCAACCATACGAGGGGGAAACCTTACAAATGCTTGAAATGTGGGAAGTGTTTTAGCCACAGCCAGAACCTCCATTCGCACCAGAGAATCCACCAAGGGGAGAAACCCTACAAATGCCTGGAGTGCGGAAAGAGCTTCAACCAGAAGACCAACCTCACTAGGCATCGAAGAACCCACCTAGCAGAGAAACTGTAGAGACACAAAGGATGGAGAACCAACGCTGGTTGGAAATGGATTCTGAAAAGATACACCCGTGTAGCCCAGGGTGGGACCGTAAAAAAATAGTGGGCAGCAGACAATAAAGTGGAAAGTATACATCATGAGTTGGAATGATTCAGTTGTCCATCATAAACAAAAAGATCTTGGAGTCCTCGTGAACAACAAGTTTAATATGAGCCAACAATGTGATGCGGCGGCAAAAAAAAGCCGATGGGATTTTGGCCTGCATTTGGCCTGCCTTGGGGCCCTTCCACACAGCCCTATATCCCAGAATATCAAGGCAGATAATCCCCCAATATCTGCTTTGATCTGGGTTATCTGAGTCCACACTGCCATATAATCCAGTTCAAAGCAGATAATGTTGGATTTTATTCAGCTGTGTGGAAGGGGCCAAAGTCTAAATTCTAGTGTCAGAAGAGCCCAAAGAGTTAACTTAGGCCCCTTCTACACAGCTGTATAAAATCCAGATTATCTGCTTTGAACTGGATTATACGAGTCTATACTGCCATATAACCCAGTCCAAAGCCGATACTGTGGATTTTACACAGCTGTGTAGAAGGGGCCTCAGCCTTCCCCCCCTTACCTCCCCAACCTTGTAGTTTTAGGAATATGAAATCCAGATTATCTGCTTCGAAGTGGATTATATAGCAGTGTGGACTCCTACAATCCGGTTTGAAGCAGATAATGTGAGTTGGCTGCTTTGATAACCTGGATAATATGGCAGTGTAGAAGGGACCTTGAGGCCCTTCCACACAGCCATATAACCCAGAATATCAAGGCAGAAAATCCCACAATATCTGTTTTGATCTGGGTTATCTGAGTCTACACTGCCATATAATCCAGTTCAAAGCAGATAATGTGGGGTTTTATACAGCTGTGTGGAAGGAGCCTTGGGGCCCTTCCACATAGCCCTATAACCCAGAATGTCATGGCAGAAAATCCCACAATATCTGCTTTGATCTGGGTTATCTGAGTCCACAGAGCCATATAATCCAGTTCAAAGCAGGTAATGTGAGGATTTTATTCAGCTGTGTGGAAGGGGCCAAAGTCTAAATTCCAGTGTCAGGAGGGCCTAAAGAGTTAACTGTATAAAATCCAGATTATATACTTTGAACTGGATTATACCAATCTACACTGCCATATAATCCAGTTCAAAGCAGATAATGTGAGGATTTTATTCAGCTGTGTGGAAGGGGCCAAAGTCTAAATTCCAGTGTCAGAAGAGGTAACTGTATAAAATCCAGATTATATGATTTGAACTGGATTATACGAGTCTACACTGCCATATAATCCAGTTCAAAGCAGATAATGTGAGGATTTTATTTAGCTGTGTGGAAGGGCCCAAGGTGTCAGAAGGGCCCAAAGAGTTAAGTCTAAATTCCAGTGTCAGAAGGGCCCAAAGAGTTAACTGTATAAAATCCAGATTATATGCTTTGAACTGGATTATACGAGTCTACACTGCCATATAATCCAGTTCAAAAAGGACAATCTGGATTTTGTATGGCAGTGTAGAAGGGGCATCAGCCTTCCCCCTTCCGACCCCAACCCTGCTGTCCCAGGCATTTAAAATCCAGATTATCTGCTTTGAACTGGATTAAATGGGTCTGCACTGCACCAGTCCATACTACCATATAATTCAGTTCAATGTAGATTTTATACAGCTGTGTGGACGGAGCCTTGGTCTTCCAAAGCTTCCAACCCGCCTCCCTCCACAAGGCTTTGTTCTCCCAGCCTTAGACTGCATCTCCCATCAGCCCCAGCTGAGGAATGATGGGGGAGTGGCGTGGGAGGAATTCTGGGAGTTGTAGTTCAGAGCAGCTCAAGGCTCTCCATCTGCAGGGGAGGAAGGAGAAGAGAGGAATGATGCTGGGAAGGAGAAGGGGGGGGGATAATAGGACATGTGATCTCCCCCTATGTCTGGAGTGGGTGACGACAGGAGGTGGGTCCTTGGAGAGGGAGGAGACTTTCTGGAGGAGCTTCCTTCCTGCTTGCTGGGCTTCACCCCCCACCCCACAATTGCTTTGGGGGAGAAGAGAGGAGGGAAGGAAGGGGCCCTTTGGCTGGAAGGATACTGGTGAGTGTGGGCTCAATGGGGAGGGGAAAAGTGGGGAGAAAGGCCAGGCACCAAGCTGTGCATTGTTTGCACCATTCTGCAATGGCATCCAAGCCCATTGAGGGGGGCCCAGGGGGTTTTTGGGGCAAGGAATGCCCTGTGTGCATGGGTGGGGATGCATCTTCCTGGCCCTTGTTTACAACCTTTGTTTACAACCTTTGCAGCCCATTCACAGCCTGGCTGGGGATGGATGGGAACTGTAACAAACCCTTTCTCAATTGCAACTGTATCTCTACCCCTTCCTAAAACTCGTATCAAGTTCACAGCAATCCCCATAGATTTCCATAGGGTTTTGCCAATTGCTATCCCAGGCATGGGCCAACTTTGGCCCTCCCTCCAGGTGTTTTGGACTTCAACTCCCACCATTCCTAGCAGCCGGTAGGCTGCTAGGAATGGTGGGAGTTGAAGTCCAAAACATGGAGGGAGGGCCAAAGTTGGCCCATGCCTGCCCTACTGAATACGCCCACAAGGCACAATCCCAAAATGCCATGCTTTGTTGTTGTTGTTGTCATTTGGCATGGAGATACCTATGAGTCACCTCTTTAGCAACAGCCCTGCTCAGGTTTTGCAGACTTGCTCTGCTTTCCCAACCTTTGGTCCTCCAGGTGTTTGGGACTTCAACTCCCAGACATCCTAGCCAGTTTAGGAATCATGAGAGTTGTAGTCCAAAACACCTGGAGGACCAAAGATTGTAGTCCAAAACACCTGGAGGACCAAAGATTGGGAAACGTTGAGCTACACTATGGAATGACCCTGCTCAGGTCTTGCAGACTTGCTCTGCCTTCCCAACCTTTGGTCCTCCAGGTGTTTGGGACTTCAACTCCCAGACATCCTAGCCAGCTTAGGAATCATGGGAGTTGTAGTCCAAAACACCTGGAGGACCAAAGATTGGGAAACGTTGAGCTACACTATGGAATCACCCTGCTCAGGCCTTGCAGACTTGCTCTGCCTTCCCAACCTTTGGTCCTCCAGGTGTTTGGGACTTCAAGTCCCAGACATCCTAGCCAGCTTAGGAATCATGGGAGTTGTAGTCCAAAACACCTGGAGGACAAAAGATTGGGAAACGTTGAGCTACACTATGGAATCACCCTGTTCAGGTCTTGCAGACTTGTTTTGCTTTCCCAACCTTTGGTCCTCCAGGTGTTTGGGACTTCAACTCCCAGACATCCTAGCCAGCTTAGGAATCATGGGAGTTGTAGTCCAAAACACCTGGAGGACCAAAGATTGGGAAACGTTGAGCTACACTATGGAATCACCCTGCTCAGGTCTTGCAGACTTGCTCTGCCTTCCCAACCTTTGGTCCTCCAGGTGTTTGGGACTTCAAGTCCCAGACATCCTAGCCAGCTTAGGAATCATGGGAGTTGTAGTCCAAAACACCTGGAGGACCAAAGATTGGGAAACGTTGAGCTACACTATGGAATCACCCTGCTCAGGTCTTGCAGACTTGCTCTGCCTTCCCAACCTTTGGTCCTCCAGGTGTTTGGGACTTCAACTCCCAGACATCCTAGCCAGTTTAGGAATCATGAGAGTTGTAGTCCAAAACACCTGGAGGACCAAAGATTGTAGTCCAAAACACCTGGAGGACCAAAGATTGGGAAACGTTGAGCTACACTATGGAATGACCCTGCTCAGGCCTTGCCGACTTGCTCTGCCTTCCCAACCTTTGGTCCTCCAGGTGTTTGGGACTTCAAGTCCCAGACATCCTAGCCAGCTTAGGAATCATGGGAGTTGTAGTTCAAAACACCTGGAGGACCAGAGATTGGGAAACGTTGAGCTACACTATGGAATGACCCTGCTCAGGTCTTGCAGACTTGCTCTGCCTTCCCAACCTTTGGTCCTCCAGGTGTTTGGGACTTCAACTCCCAGACATCCTAGCCAGCTTAGGAATCATGGGAGTTGTAGTCCAAAACACCTGGAGGACCAGAGACTGGGAAACGTTGAGCTACACTATGGAATGACCCTGCTCAGGTCTTGCAGACTTGCTCTGCCTTCCCAACCTTTGGTCCTCCAGGTGTTTGGGACCTCAACTCCCAGACATCCTAGCCAGCTTACCAGCTGTTAGGAATCATGGGAGTTGTAGTCCAAACCACCTGGAAAACCAAAAATTGGGAAACGTTGTGGAATGAATGCAGTTTGACCCCATTTTTTCATGCCGTGGCTCAATACTATGGAATCCTGGAAGTTGGAGTCCTGCTACACAATTTTGAAGCCACAACAAACTACAACTCCCACAATTCCATCACATTGAGCTAAAGAAATCTCAGATCCTGCCGTTGTAGTTTTACAAGGTCTTTAACCTTCTTTGCTAAATCCTTGACTGATGTTTTAACTGGGTTGTTGTAGGTTTTTTTCCTGGCTATATGGCCATGTTCTAGAGGCATTCTCTCCTGACGTTTTGCATGCATCTACGGCAAGCATCCTCAGAGGTAGTGAGGTGTTTTAACTTACTGCAATAATAGAAGTTTAGGGATAAGGAATAACAACAACAACAACAACAACAGCAACAGGTTGTTGTGAGTTTTCCAGCCTGTATAATAATAACAACAACCACAACAACAACAACAGGTTGTTGTGAGTTTTCCAGCCTGTATGGCCATGTCCCAGAAGCATTCTCTCCTGACGTTTCGCCTGCATCTATGGCAAGCATCCTCAGAGGTAGTGAGGTGTTTAAACTTACTGCAGTAATAGAAGTTTGGGGATAAGGAGTAACAACAACAGCAACAGGTTGTTGTGAGTTTTCCAGCCTGTATGGCCATGTTCTAGAGGCATTCTCTCCTGACGTTTCGCCTGCATCTAAGGCAAGCATCCTCAGAGCTAGTGAGGTGTTTTAACTTACTGCAGTAATAGAAGTTTGGGGATAAGGAATAATAATAATAATAATAATAACAACAAAAACAACCACAACAACAACAACAGGTTGTTGTGAGTTTTCCAGCCTGTATGGCCATGTCCCAGAAACATTATCTCCTGACATTTCGCCTGCATTTATGGCAGGCACCCTCAGTGGTTGTGAACTTCGTTGGAAACTATGCAAAGGGGTTTATATATATCTATGGAATGATGGCCAAGGCGGGAGAAAGAACTCTTGTCTGTTGGAGGTAGGTGTGAATGTTGCAGGTGGTCAATTTCAACAGAAAGGAGGAAACCATGAAAATGAACAAATTGTGGCTACTAGTCGTTTTAAAAAAACTCTAAAATCAGGACAGTAAATAAAGAAAAAACCCTCAAAAACAGAATTCCAGACAGGAAATAATCAGGGCCAGCTAACACCTCCCAACAAAGGATTCCCCCCAGGCAGGAAGCAGCCAGGCTTCGAAGCTACAAGGCTATTCAATGCTAATCAAGGTAGTTAATTACAACATTCTTACTTTCTTAATTAGATGATCCCTCGTAGCTCAAGGGTGCACACATATATATATGCAAACACACATATATACACATATACACACACAAAGCACATATACACAAATCGGGCCACAGTAACATATGGCAGGGAACAGCTAGTAACAAATATAATTTATTATGATGGTGAGAAGAATGTTTTAAAAGTTAGGAAATTGGCACCTTTCCTTTATCTTCCTTTTCTCCCGTTTTTTGAACAGCCTTATTAGATATTTCTGTTAAATTTCAGTAGGAACTGAGTGCATTTTATTCAGTTTGGAGATGAAAGGAAATAATACTTCGTTGTTTTGAAGGTTTGCTGATTGTCTTGTATTTTTTTTTTTGTCGTATCAGGAGCGACTTGAGAAACTGCAAGTCGCTTCTGGTGTGAGAGAATTGGCCGTTTGCAAGGACGTTGCCCAGGGGACGTTGCCCAGATGATTTGATGTTTTTATCATCCTTGTGGGAGGCTTCTCTCATGTCCCTGCATGAGGAGCTGGAGCTGATAGAGGGAGCTCATCCGCCTCTCCCCGGATTCGAACCTGCGACCTGTCGGTCTTCAGTCCTGCCGGCACAGGGGTTTAACCTACTGCGCCACCGGGTGCTCCATGTCTTGTAATACTAAAGGTTATGCAAGCAATCCTTGGAGAAGTGACTTCATTCATGCCCACCCTGGAGCTCAGATGCCTCCAGCACATTGCTCTTATCCTTTTGGGTTGGGAATTATGGGACTTGGTGTCCATCAAAAGATCTGCCTGAGGTTTGCAGAAAAAAAATCGGGAAATGTGTTGTCAAAATCTTTCATGGCTGGAATCACTGGGTTGCTGTGAGTTTTCTGGCATGTATGGACATGTTCCAGCAGCATTCTCTCCTGACATTTCGCCCACATCTATGGAAGGCATCCTCAAAGGTTGTGAGGTCTGTTGGAAACTAGGCAAGTGAGGTCTATATGTCTGAGGAATAATTTCTAGGGTGGGAGAAAGAACTCTTGTCTGTATGAGGGAGGTGTGAATGTTGCAATTGGCCACCTTGATTAGAATTTAATGGTCCAGCAGCTTCTTACCGCCCGGGGAAATCCTTTGTTGGGAGGTGATTAGCTGGCCCTGACTTATTCTTGAAATTGTCCACTTGCTTGTGTGAATGTTGCCATTGACCACCTTGATTAGCATTGAATGACCTTGCAACTTCAAAACAGAGCACCCGATGAACCAACCTGGACACAGCATATGATTTGAGAACACTGAAATGCTGGACCACGCTAACAGCCACCATGTCAGGCTACACAGAGAAGCCATTGAAATCCACAAGCATGTGGACAATTTCAACAGAAAGGAGGAAACCATGAAAATCAACAACATCTGGCTACCAGTATTTAAAAAAAAAACCTCTAAAAGCAGGACAGTAAATAACAACATTCAGAAAACAGGGGAATTCCAGACAAAAATCAATCGGGAACAGCTAATCACCTCCCAACAAAGGATTCCCCCAGGCAGCAACCAACCAGGCTTTGAAGCTGAAAGGCTATTCAGTGCTAATCAAGGTGGCCAATTGCAACTTTCTTTCTTACTTACTTACTTAGGCGATCCCTCATAGCCCGAGGATGATGGTCCTCCAAATATAGTGTCTTGGCAGTGGATCAGTAGGTAACTGTGGAGTCCTATTCTTGATCCCACAGTGAGGACATCGGTTTCCAGGTGGAAGGCAGTCTCGGTCAGGGTTGGCTTGATGCACCTTTCTCTTGCCACGTTTCCCCCTTTTGCCTTCCATTCGTGCCTCTTCGAATTCCACAGCACTGCTGGTCACAGCTGACCTCCAGTTAGAGCGCTCAAGCGCCAGGGCTTCCCAGTTCTCGGTGTCTAGTTTTTAAAGCTGGCTTTATGCCCATCTTTCAATTTCTTTTCCTTTTCACCAACATTACATTTCCCGTTCTTGAGTTCAGAGTAGAGTAACTGCTTTGGGAGATGGTGATCGGGTACTCAGACAACGTGGTGAGTCCAGCAGAGTTGATGGGATAGCGTTCACATTTCCTCAAGCGGACAAGAGTTCTTTCTCCCACCCTGGACAATCCACAGAAATATAAACCCAATTTTCCTAGTTCCAACAGACCTCTCACAACCTCTGATGATTTTTTTTTTGGTCGTGTCAGGAGCGACTTGAGAAACTGCAAGTCGCTTCTGGTGTGAGAGTATTGGCTGTCTGCAAGGACGTTGCTCAGGGACGCCTGGATGTTTTGATGTTTTATCATCCTTGTGGGAGGCTTCTCTCATGTCCCCGCATGAGGAGCTGGAGCTGACAGAGGGAGCTCATCCGCCTCTCCCCGGATTCGAACCTGTGACCTGTTGGTCTTCAGTGCTGCTGGCACAGGGGTTTAACCCACTGTGCCGCCAGGGGCTCTCACAACCTCTGATGATGCCTGCCATAGATGTGGGCGAAGCATCAGGAGAGAGTGCTTCTGGAACATAGCATCCTCAGAGGTTGTGAGGATGCTGGAGTATGGTGGAGACTCCTGGAGTGTGGTGGAGACTCCTTCTTTGGAAGCTTTTAAACAGAGGCTGGATGGCCATCTGTCAGGGGTGATTTGAATGCAATATTCCTGCTTCTTGGCAGAATGGGGTTAGGCTGAATGGCCCATGAGGTCTCTTCCAACTCTGTGATTCTATGATACTGGGTTGTTGTGAGTTCTCCGGGCTGTATGGCCCTGTTCCAGAAGCATTCCCTTCTGACATTTCACCTGCATCTATGGCAGGCATCCTCAGAAGTTGTGAGGAACTAGGAAAATGAGGTTTATATATCTGTGGAATGTCAGCTTGCTACAAAGGATTCCCCCAGGCAGTAAGAAGCCAGACCTTGACACTGCTAGGCCATTAAATGCTAATCAAGATGGCCAACTGAAACATTCACACCTACCTCCAACAGACAAGAGTTCTTTTTCCCACCCTGGTCATTATTCCACAGGTATATAAACCTTACTTGCCTAGTTTTGAACAGAACTCACAACCTCTGAGGATGCCTGCCAAAGGTGTGGGCAAAATGTCAGAAGAGAATGCTTCTGGAAGATGGCCACACAGCCTGGAAAACTCAAAGCAACCCAAATCAGGAAATGTTTCCAGGGTGGAAACTGGGTACAGCGATGGGGTCCCGTTTGGGGGAAAGCCCTTGAGAGCGGGAGCCTTCTATTTATGATGGAAATGAGATCTGGAGGAACAAAAGAGCCAGAGCCAGCAGAGGTTGGAATCTGGAGATGCTGAATAGGAACAAAGGCAAGGGTTTCGAGGCCTGGAAAATTCCAGATGGGGAGGTCGGAGCTTTAGAGAAAGTCTTAATTTTGTAACTTTGGAGCTGCTTCAAGGATCAGGAAATCTGCCTCTGCAAAAAGCATGGTGTCTGTTGCCCCTTCTAGGCCCAGCACTTGAGAAGCATTTAAAAAACAACAGCGTAAAGATTGGAAAAGTGCATTAACATTCCAGAAATCCTTCCTGCAGCGAGATCCCAATCCAGGTAAGCTTTGCTCTGTCTCCTGTGTGTTTTGGGGGAACCAAGATATATTTAAATTATTATTATTATTATTATTACTACTACTACTACTACTAGCCGTCCCCTGCCACGCTTTGCTGTGGCCCACATGGGGGTTCTGCGTGGGAGGTTTAATCCAATTCCATCGTTGGTGGGGTTCAGAATGCTCTTTGATTGTAGGTGAACTATAAATCCCAGCAACTACAACTCCCAAATGTCAAGATTCTAATTTCCCCAAACTCCACCAGTGTTCACATTTGGGCATATTGAGTATTCGTGTAGAGTTTGGTCCAGATCCATCATTGTTTGAGTCCACAGTGCTGTCTGGATGTAGGTGAACTACAACTCCAAAACTCAAGGTCAATGCCCACCAAACCCTTCCAGTATTTTCTGTTGGTCATGGGAGTTCTGTGTGCCAAGTTTGGTTCAATTCCATCATTGGTGGAGTTCAGAATGCTCTTGATTGTAGGTGAACTATAAATCCCAGCAACTACAACTCCCAAATGTCAAGATTCTATTTTCCCCAGACTCCACCAGTGTTCACATTTGGGCATATTGAGTATTCGTGTAGAGTTTGGTCCAGATCCATCATTGTTTGAGTCCACAGTGCTCTCTGGATGTAGGTGAACTACAACTCCAAAACTCAAGGTCAATGCCACAAACCCTTCTAGTGTTTTCTGTTGGTCATGAGAGTCCTGTGTGCCAAGATTGGTTCAACTCCATCATTGGTGGGGTTAGAATGCTCTTTGATTGTTGGTGAACTATAAATCCCAGCAACTACAACTCCCAAATGACAAAATCATAATTTTTTGAGTGATGGTCACTCCTTGTGTTGTGAGACGTTTTGTTGCCAAATTTGGTGTGATTTCGTTCACTGGTTCCTTTGTTTTTAAGGTACTCATTACTTATTATTGAATGTAATGTGTTTAACCATTTTAAATGCTTAATATGTATTAATTTTAATTTTAATGTTACTGGAATTGTGTGTGTTTTTAAGGCATTGAACAATTGTCTATGTGTCCCCTTTGGGGTAGAGAAAGGCAGGATATAAATAGGATAAATAAATAAATAAAATTGTTGATATTTTCCTCTATGGCTTGCTCCAATTGGTGGCATTTCTTTCAGATCACGGACCAAAGATGGACCAGGAAGACCCAAAGGAGGTCATGGAGGAGAATTCTGCGATGGTCAGCTCATCTGGTAGGGTCTTCTTCTCATTACTTACTTACTTAGGCGACCCCTCGTTGGCCGAGTAGGATAGTCTTCCAGGATCAGTATTCTGGTGGATCCATAGGTGACTGTGGAGCCCTATTCTTGCTCTGCATTTTCTTCTGCAGTGAGGGCATTGGTTTCCAGGTGCGAGGCGGTCTCAGTCGGGGTTGGCTTGACGCGCCTTCCTCTTGGCACGTTTCTCTCTTTCGCCCTCCATTCGTGCCTCTTCAAATTCTGCAGCACTGCTGGTCACAGCTGACCTCCAGCTGGAGCGCTCAAGGGCCAGGGCTTCCCAGTTCTCAGTGTCTATGCCAGAGTTTTTAAGGTTGGCTTTGAGCCCATCTTTAAAACTCTTTTCCTGTCCACCAATCCATTTTCCATTCTTGAGTTCAGAGTAGAGCAACTGCTTTGGAGACGATGGTCGGGCATCCGGACAACGTGTCCAGTCCAGCAGAGTTGATGGCGGAGGACCATCGCTTCAATGCTGGTGGTCTTTGCTTCTTCCAGCACGCTGACGTTTGTCTGCTTGTCTTCCCAAGAGTTTGTGTTGCAACCCAGATCAGGAAACAAGACCATAATATATTAATCCACCACACTTGACTGTGGGAAAAACAATCCTTTTTTATTGATGAAAAATGGTTACAAAATAGAGGAAAATACAAAGTCCAAAAAGCCACAGTAAAATTCAGCAGTCAGGAATATCTATGAACTAGATCAAAATTCCAAAAGCAACACTAGAAAAACCTGGAACCTGTTAGCATCTCACTAACCGTACTTGAAAACTAGAAGCCTCTGGGAATGCAGGCCATGGAAACCGGGAAATCTGCCAAGGTAATGCCTCAGTCTAAAACGATGCTTGATCTAACGAGAGAGCCTGGGGAGAGATACTTAAAGCTAAAGAAACTGTTTCGGGACACGCCTCCAGGCTTTGAAGCCTGTGCCTCCCTTTCCTTTAATCTGCTTGACCTTCGCAGACTCTGTGATTCACTCCTGTTTTTCCAAATCTGTCCTTTTCTATCCTCATTAAAAAAGGCAGGTGCTAGCTCCTCTGGAGAGCTATCACCGCTTGATTCAGAAACATTCCCATCAGGATAAGTAGTTTCACTTTCCAAGCCACTGACCTCAGAATCAACAGTTTCCAAACCTTCAGGGACAAATTCATGTTCAGTAGCCTGTTCAGTTGCATCAGGAAATACAATCAGAGAATCAGGTTCAGGTTCACATGGAGGCTGAACCCCAACATGCAGGATTTTCTCGAGGCAGCGCTGATGGAATAGTTCCAGGAGTTGCATGTGATGTCTGTAGACAGTCCATGTTTCACAGGCATATAGCAGGGTTGGGAGGAAAATAGCTCTATAAACAAGCACCTTGGTTTCCCTACGGATACCAGGGCAGCTTACAACGGCAGCAATTCGATGCTGGCGGCATGCAACACATTCTGTACAACATTATACAAAACATAAAATATTAGATTAAAATACATTTCAAGCATTATTGTTATCATGTTTTGTTGTTCATTCGTTCAGTCGTCTCCGACTCTTCGTGACCTCATGGACCAGCCCAGGCCAGAACTCTCTGTCGGCCGTCACCACCCCCAGCTCCTTCAAGGTCAGTCCAGTCACTTCAAGGATGCCATCCATCCATCTTGCCCTTGGTCGGCCCCTCTTCCTTATCATGTATCATGTTATCATGTAGCTGAATAAAAATCTCATTTAGCAACCGACAATCCAGTTGAAAGACTGTCATAGTCAAAATTCCAACATTCTGATTACTGCCAAACCAACTGTCCAAAGGCTTGGTCCCAAAACCATGTTTTGAGCTTCTTTCTAAAAAAGAGGAGGGATGGAGCTGACCTAATGTCACTAGGGAGGGAGTTCCACAACCGAGGGGACACCACCGAGAAGGCCCCGTCCCTCATCCCCACCAAATGTACTTTTGAAGGGGGCAGGACCAAGAGCAGGGCCTCCCCAGACAATCTTAAAAATGAAGTTCAACACTGACAAATGCAAGATACTCCACTTTGGTAGGAAAAACGAAATGCAAAGATACAGAATGGGGGATGCCTGGCTTGAGAGCAGTACGTGTGAAAAAGATCTTGGAGTCCTCGTGGACAACAAGTTAAACATGAGCCAACAATGTGATGTGGCGGCAAAAAAAGCCAATGGGATTTTGGCCTGCATCAATAGGAGCATAGTGTCTAGATCTAGGGAAGTCATGCTACCCCTCTATTCTGCTTTGGTTAGACCACACCTGGAATATTGTGTCCAATTCTGGGCACCACAATTGAAGAGAGATATTGACAGGCTGGAATGTGTCCAGAGGAGGGCGACTAAAATGATCAAGGGTCTGGAGAACAAGCCCTATGAGGAGCGGCTTAAGGAGCTGGGCATGTTTAGCCTGAAGAAGAGAAGGCTGAGAGGAGACATGATAGCCATGTATAAATATGTGAGAGGAAGCCACAGGGAGGAGGGAGCAAGCTTGTTTTCTGCTTCCCTGGAGACTAGGACACGAAACAATGGCTTCAAACTACAAGAAAGGAGATTCCATCTGAACATGAGGAAGAACTTCCTGACTGTGAGAGCCGTTCAGCAGTGGAACTCTCTGCCCCGGAGTGTGGTGGAGGCTCCTTCTTTGGAAGCTTTTAAGCAGAGGCTGGATGGCCATCTGTCAGGGGTGATTTGAATGCAATATTCCTGCTTCTTGACATGGGGTTGGACTGGATGGCCCATGAGGTGTCTTCCAACTCTTTGATTCTATGATTCTATGATTCTATGATTCTATGAAACAGAGCTTTGTGGTCAACTACACATGTTTGTCAAACAGTATTTTATTCCATGATTAGAAATGCTTTGTCATTTCTATCTAACAGTGATATCAATTCCATTTTTGTTTGGGAAGAAAAATGTAACCACTCCCTGGAATAGAATAGCAAGATATTGTCCTGCCTCAAAGAGATGAATAAGTCCATTCATTGAATATATTCTTGGTTGTTGTTGTTTTCAGAGCGAGATCTTCCCAATCATCAAGAAAGTTTTGTAGACCAAGGGCCAAAGACAGAAGAGGAAGACGAAAACGAATCCATAGAAGAGATTGTGGTGCCAGCGGGTAAGCTCCCCTTGACCCTCGGACGAGAACCTAAACATGAGTATCCAGTGAAGAAAACCCAAGTTCATTTGAACGTGTTGTGTTAAATCCTTTCCCAGCCAACTGAAGATTAAGGATGCTGGGAAAGGATGACTCTTCGGGGCCAGGACATCAATTATTATATCAACAGGCATAGGAATGGATTGGTCCATTCCAGTGATGTCAATGCTATTTTATAGAATCATAGAATCCTAGAGTTGGAAGAGACCTCGAGGGCCATCCAGTCCAACCCCATTCTGCCAAGAAGCAGGACAATCACGTTCAAAGCACCCCCGACAGATGACCATCCAGCCTCTGTTTAAAAGCCTCCATAAGCTTTTGTTACTGTCCATGGCAGTGTGGTGGTCTTTTAACTGGAAAGGATATGAAGCAGATTAGGAATGGTTAGCGGCCTCCCAGAGACCCCACTACACTCCCCTAAAACTTACCCCAAATAATCCCAAACAGTACAAGGGCTTTCCTTGACTGAGGACTTCCATGTTGGGTGGGCTTTAAATCCACTCTGGATTTTAGTTCAAACTTTAGAGAGCCGTTGAAGGTTCCCAATCCTATCCCCTTCATCATCTTGAATAATCAAAATTTATTTATTTATTTATTTACAACATTTTTACCCTGCTCTTCTTACCCCCGCAGGGGGGCTCAGAGAGGCTAACAATGGCAACGATTCGATGCCGCAATAATTACAATTATAATAACAAGATAAAAACATACAATACAATAACTTAAAACAACATTAGTTAAACAGTCGTAAAGCCTTTTCCATTACAACAATCATATGGTCTGATTCAATGTTCAGGAGCCGTTATATCCATTAGCCAAAAGCCTGGTTCCACAACCACATCTTCAGTTTTCTTCTGAAAGAAAGGAGGCAGGATCCCGATCTGATTTCGCTGGGGAGTGAATTCCACAGGCGGGGGGCCACCATCGAGAAGGCCCTGTCCCTTGTCCCCACCAGCCGTGTTTGCGAAGCTGGCGGGACTGAGAGCAGGGCCTCCCCGGCAGATCTTAGACTACGAGGTGGAACGTAGAGGGAGATATGTTCGGACAAGTAATGTGGACTGGAGTCGTATAGGGCTTTATAGGCTAAGACCAGCACTTTGAATTGTGTTTGGAAATGGACCGGCAGCCACCGGAGTTGACGTAACAGGAGGGTGGTATGCTCCCTGTATGATGCTCCGGTGAGCAATCTGGCTGCTGCCCGTTGGACTAGTTGAAGTTTCCGAACAGTCTTCAAAGGCAACCTCACGTAGAGCGCGTTGCAGTAATCTATTCGGGATGTAACCAGAACATGGACCACCATGGCCAGATCAGTCTTTCCAAGGTACGGGCGCAGCTGGAGCACAAGCTTTAACTGTGCAAAAGCTCTCCCAGCCACCGCTGAGACCTGGGGTTCCAGGCTCAGCGATGAGTCCAGGATCACTCCCAAGCTGTGAACCTGCGTCTTCAGGGGGAGTGCGACCCCATCCAACACAGGCTGTAACCCTATGCCCTGTTTGGCCTTTCGACTGACCAGGAGGACCTCTGTCTTGTCTGGATTCAATTTCAATTTGTTAGCCCTCATCCAGTCTGACACAGCAGCCTGACACAAAACCTACCTTTTCATATGGTTCGCATGTTGGATAGTCCCAAAAATGATATATGATACTGATATAAAGCCATCAACTAGTCACTGCTTTTATGATTTTTCTGCCCAAATTTGAGACTGAAATGGGACCATGGCATAGAACTAAGGGCCTAAACATTAGGAAAACCTCTTGATGGTAAGAGTTGTCCTACAATGTTCTACAATGTGGGGTGTGGTAGAGTGTCCCAAACACAGGCATGATGTCCAATTCCTGTACAGCAGCAAGGGGTTATTCTGGATGGGCCTTGTCCCAACTCTATGAATCTATTATTTTATCCTCAGAAATATGGAATAGCTAATTTTCCAGGTGAAATCACACAGAAAAGAATTCATTTAAACAAGTGTATGTATAAAAATGACTTGCACTGACTTACTCCATGTTTACATTATTCACACAGTAGTGAAATCATTTACCTGCTTGGAATGTGGAAAGAGCTTCCGTGAGCGCCCGAGTTGGACCTCGCATCAAAGAATCCACACGGGCGAAAAACCGTATAAATGCCCCGTCTGTGGGAAGTGCTTCCGTACCAGCAGGAACCTCCGCTTCCACCAACGAATCCACACTGACGAAAAACCATTTAAGTGTCCTGAATGCGGCAAGGGCTTCCGTACCAGCAAAGCCCTCAGTGTCCATCAGCGAACTCACACGGGAGAGAAACCCTTTAAATGCTTGGAGTGCGGAAAGTGCTTCAGCCAGAAGACCAATCTCACTTGTCATCAAAGGACTCACACCGGAGAGAAGCCACACAAGTGCTCCGAGTGTGGCAAGAGCTTCCACCAGAAGACTAATCTTACTTACCATCAACGAATCCACACAGGGGAAAAACCATATCAGTGTTCAGAGTGTGGGAAAAGGTTTGGCCACATTGTGAGTCTCACCGACCACCAGCGGCTTCACACAGGAGAAAAACCTTACAAGTGTTTGGTGTGCGGAAAGGATTTCACAACGAGCAAATATCTGAGTTATCATCAAAGAATCCACACTGGAGAGAAACCGTTCAAATGTTTGGAGTGTGGCGAAAGCTTCTGTTGGGCCAACTCCCTTACTTTACACCAACGGCTTCACACAGGTGAGAAACCCTATAAATGCTTAGAGTGTGGGAAGAGCTTTTGCGAGAGCACCAGCCTTACTTCGCATCAAGCCATCCATACCGGGGCCAAACCTTATCAGTGTCTCAAGTGTGGCAAAAGCTTGAGCAGTAAAAAATCCCTGACCTCCCACCAGCGCATTCACACTGGAGAGAAACCCTACAAATGCCTGGAATGTGGGAAAAGCTTCAGCATGAGTACCAATCTCACATCTCACCAAAGGATCCATACTGGGGAGAAACCATTTAAGTGTCTGGAGTGTGGCAAGTGGTTTAGTCACAAAACAAACCTGACTTCCCATCAGAGAACGCACACTGGGGAGAAACCTTATCAATGCCCGGAGTGCGGGAAGTGCTTTGGCCACAGGGCGCACCTTAGTAATCACCAGAGGACTCACACAAGAGTCAAACCATACCAGTGCCTGGAGTGCGGAAAGGGCTTCGGTGTGAGCACAAGTCTCCGTAAGCATCAAAGGACCCATCACACGGAAAAGCCACAACAGTCCATCAGTGCAAAGAATGTGGAAAGTTCCTCCACTGAAGCCATACCTTCAGTAGATGTTACAGAGGAGACATCATAAGTGGGCAAGGATTATATTGTCAGTCCTCCACATTTCAGGGTTTGACTTTTTGAAGATTTGATTCAAAAGAAGTTGACCATAGAGTTATGCTGGAGAATGTAGATATTCTCTCAGATTTTTTTTAAATAAGGGGGGGGGGTGTTAAACTCTCTGTTTTTCATTTTCCAAAGAGCCTGTGCCTCTAACTCAGGCATAGGCAAACTAAGGCCCAAGGACTGGATGCGTCTCCCAATGTTCCCTGTTCTCTTGGCATGAAGGAGGAAGGCATGCTGTAGCTGAGAGCCCTCTGGAGTGTTCTCAGCCACTGCATGTCTCGTCCTCCTCCCGGCAAAACGACGGTGCGCGCGGCCCTATCCTTATGCTGAGAGGACAGCCCGACAAAGGTACGCAGTGGCCTAGAGCCCTCTGGAGTGCTCTCAACCATCACCTGTCTCGCCCTCCTCCTGTCATAATGATGAGAGGACAGCCCAAGGATCAGGAGAGGAGATTGGGGCTGTCGCCCCATGTCTCGTTTTCCTCCTGGCATAAGGATGGGGCAAGCAGCCCCATCTTTGTGCCAGGAGGACAACCTGAGGATGACCCGGGCCCTGCCCCAGCCCCTTCCAACCCCACCCTCTCACAGGCCCTCTCCCCCCCTGGGCACTTATCTCAGGCCCTCCCAATTTTCCCTCCCAATGGTGGTCCACCACATCCTTATGCACAGAGTATGGAGGAGGAAGGCATGCCATAGCTGAGAGCCCTCTGGAGTGCTCTCAGCCACTGCATGTCTCGCCCTCCTCCCTGCATAAGGACCGTACGAGCAGCCTTGTCCTTATGCTGAGAGGATGGCCTGAGGACGGCCTGGTTTAGAGCACTCTGGAGTGTTTTTGGTCATCACCTGTCTCACCCTCCTCCCATCATAATGATGAGAGGACACCCCAAGGATCGGGAGAGGAGATCGGGGCTGTCGCCTCATGTCTCATTTTCCTCCTGGCATAAGGATGAGGCGAGCATCCCTCTCCCCCCCGGGCACTTATCTCAGGCCCTCCCAATTTTCCCTGTTCTCGGCATAAGGACATGGTGGCCCACCACATCCTTATGCGGAGAGGATGGAGGAGGAAGGCACGCCATAGCTGAGAGCCCTTTGGAGCTCTCTCAGCCACTGCCTGTCTCGTCCTCCTCCTGGCATAAGGATAGTGTGAGCGGCCTGTCCTTATGCTAAAAGGACAACCTGACGAAGGTACGCAGTGGCTTAGAGCCCTCTGGAATGCTTGCAACCATCACCTGTCTTGCCCTCCTCCAGTCATAATTATGAGAGGACAGCCCAGGGATTGGGAGAGGAGATTGGGGCTGTTACCTCATGTCTCGTTTTCCTCCCGGCGTAAGGGTGGGATGAGGAGCTNTCCTGGGCTTGTCCCACCCAGCGTGTGCCCGGCCATCCTCCTTCCTGGTCCAGCACAAAATGCATCCCCAAGGCAAAAAGGTTTTCCCATACCTGCCCTAACCCCAACAAGTGTGGAGGGCTGACTTCAACATACATTGACAATCCACAAAATCTAAATCTACTACTGAATCTAGATGTACTACTACAGATTGATTGTCTACAATTTTTCAGTGAGACCCGCATCTCCTCTGGAAACTTATGTGCAGACTGGAAAGAGGTACTAGAGGTATCAGATACCGCTTACTCTCTGATAGTATTATATCTAGGAGTGTATTTTAGCATTTTCCACTAGATTTCCATAAGAATCCCATGTGCCAACCCTTCACATCATCTTCTGAGGAGGTACAATGTGGCAAGAGGATGCCATGGAGCCAGGAATTTAAGTGTGGTGGCACTAAGACACTGTATAGACGACCCTGACAAAGAGAGATTACATAACCTCCCAACTGCCCTTTGTAGATCCAACTAAATTGTATTATTGTTCAATGAGCTTGTAAATTAGCTTTTCTCATTCCTGTAGTAGCTTATTTCTTTTATTTGTGATTTTGATTTCACTTTCCTTCAGCTCAATTCTAGTTTTTTAAAAATAACATAGCATACATTCTTTTATGATTTTGTAATCCCCATTGGGTAGATTTGTAGAAGCCTGAGACAAAAAAGCATCAATAAACAAGCCTGTCACATCTTTCCAGTGTCTTGTAATAACATGAGTTTGGGTAAGTCGACATCGTGATTGGAACCAACACAAAAAACAGAGTTTAGCTGTGATTGAAGGATTTAGCTTGGTGTGATCCATTTCACAAAGGACCCTCTGGCTGTTATTACCCGCCTCAAACCATAGGGAGAGGAGGGTAAGAAATGAAATGATATGATGATGATGATCACAGCACGCAGGGCTCAAATTCCAACTCTGGGGCACGGATCCAACCATCTTTTGGGTTTCCTTTTTCCTCTGCGTTCTCCTGTACCTAAGTCACCTTACATTAATAGGACTTATTTATTTATTTGCAGCATTTATATTCCCCTTCTCACCCCGAAGGGGACTCCAGGCGGATCACAGAACACATACACGGCAAACATTCAATGCCATTAAACAGACAGGACAGACAACAGATAGAGATATTATGTCAGCAATTTTTTCCAACTTTGGCGTCCTGGAGGTTGTGCTCAATTCCGGCCACAGGGGGTGCTGTCACTCCATCCTCTATGATGAAGAGCCTTGATCACAGACTTCCTCCTTCCTTTGATTGTTGGCATTTTTCTGGTATTTCCTTTTATGGTGCCCTAAAATACCTCCCTGCTTAAGCAGTGCCTAATTTCTCTACTCACAGACCAGAGCTGTTTTCAAACTGCTTAG